ATGTTTAGATATTAGTTTATTCATAGTCATCACCAGAAGATTCAAAATCAAAGTTCATAACATGAGCGCGATAAATATCTTCTTGGTTGCTGACCACAAGCTCGCATATATCCTTTGGATATGCTTCAGATACCTATTCACATTGTAAATCTTCATTCCAGCCATGTAGCAAAAGACCACTACGGCAAGCTGGTAATAAAGAAATCTTTAAATTAGCGTCATCTACTGATTAAGTCGCTTTCCGCGATATTTTCTATCTTTGCCCGTTTCATTATCGATCAAAATGTGTATATTTGGATCATTGTTTGCGAGGAGAATGATTGGGATGTCTATTTCGCCGGAGCAAGAATACAAAATATAATTTGTTTCAGCGCCTCCATTAATTTGCAATGCGAAGATGAGTAGGTAAGCTATTTTGGTGTCCTCGTGGTTTGCTGTCAGGTCTAGGATATTAACGACACTTTCAATACTAATCTTGATATATTTTTTGATCCAATCAAGATTAGTATTGAAAGTGTCGAAAATATTACGGCCTACATGCTTTCAGTGGTAATGACCATCTGTCTTTCTTTTTCCAACTTTCTAACAATTTTTAAAGAGCTGGGACAGACAAATGATGTTTCTGTACGGCGAAAAGCGACTTGCATCAGAAGATGGGACTAGAAGAAAGATTTTCTGGAGGAATTTTAATTGTGATGAAAATTAACAAACCCATCTTTTTTTATTACCATCATGCCTGAGTAGTCTTTTGCTGCACATTAAGTCTAAACATGTCTCTGGTTTACTGTGTTTTTATGTACATTTCCAGATCTCTTGAAAAGTACCATTATAGTTTAATATGACTTAATTGGTACTGAACTAAAAATCAATATGATTAAAATACAGATGTATATTTCGTTTCGTTTTTTCTTTGTATACTTTCGATGGCCTACACACTACATGAAGATTCGATCAGTTGTACTTGGTGGTCGCGTCAGGGGCCATACAAGAGGCTTTTGACCCTATGACGTCAGACATTGATTAATCAATCAGCGTTGACGTTTCTAGGGGTTTATCCACAGTTCTGTGTAGAACACGCCAAGAACTCGCCGTAACAGACCGTTTCATTGGCTAATTCCTCACATCAACTAGACCGCCTCTACCAGATCCTAGTGTTGTGAAGACAGGTAAAACGAAATTTTGAACTATAAAAAAACGAAACAAAATAGCAACTGTGTTTTAATCAGGTTGAACGAAAAAGCTGACAAGAAAACACTTTTCGGGTCAATTTTGAACCAAGTGGTTTCTGTCCCTAAAATTACATTTTGCCCCTCCCCCCCCCCCCCACATATATTTAGAGATGTGCAGCGGAATTAAAAAGTAATGTTTTTACCAAGAGCTAAGGAAATCATCATTTAAATCAACGTGAACTCATTTGCCGCCAATTTTACCCCCCATTTTCCCATACACGCACACCTGCTACCCCTACCTCACCTCCCGGCTCCCCACAAATCAAAACAGTTATCCAGGGGCATCATATACGCGTCTTTAGTGATGGAGAGCCCTAGAAATTAAACATGCATTATGCAAGAGCAAATTCTGCTTATTACAAGTCTTTCTTTAGGCCTGAAATGTTATCTAAATTATCAATTAGACATAAATTAACTTATCCAGACCATAATAAACTCTCGATGTCAAGGCTAGCCTTCGATGTTGGCTGGATTAGATTCCTATATGCCGCTAACGGCCATTGATAATTAAATCAGAAAAAGTGGATAATCGAACTCATTTCCCGCCAATTCCCCCCCCCCCATTTTCCAATACACGCACACCTGCTACCCCTACCTCAGCCCCGGCTCCCCACAAATCAAAACAGTTATCCAGGGGCATCATATACGCGTCTTTAGTGATGGAGAGCCCTAGAAATTAAACATGCATTATGCAAGAGCAAAATCTGCTTATTACAAGTCTTTCTTTAGGCCTGAAATGTTATCTAAATTATCAATTAGACATTAATTAACTTATCCAAACCATAATAAACTCTCAATTTCAAGGCTAGCCTTTGATGTTGGCTGGATTTGATTCCTATATGCCGCTAACGGCCATTGATAATTAAATCAGAAAAAGTGGATAATCGAGACTATGATGTTTATATTAATGATTTTAGTAATGATGACCGAGACTATGCAAAAATTTCACCCGCTTCTTTCTCGGCTCATAAGGGATCAATTTGACTGAAATTTTCAGCAAATTACCTTTACACTATCTAGTTTTTAACTATTATAGCGCGAACTGCCATCTCTTTATCTTATCTCCCATAATGTATCTTTAATGTTTTATTAATATATAACATGATCATCATTTATGTCAACATAATAACATGACACCCCCCCCCACTAATTGTAGACACTGGACCCCCTCCCCCGAGCCCCCAACGCCTGATCACCACCCAGATTCGGAATCTACACAAAACACTTGTCTAGAAAAACTTGGCCTCATAAATTCACTGTTTGGATGGCGACCCCCCCCCCCCCCGCCTTTCCTTCAGTCACCGGAATAGATTGTGTTTTCATAGTAAGGGAGTTAAAAAAGAAATATAATTTCACTTCATTTTATTATCCAGAAATCGCTCAGAAAGCGTTTCAGACGATCTAGACCACGCATGAGCTTCCGGGCCATAGGCGGCCCCTGGCCTATCGTAAGGACCTAGGATGGTAGCCCCTCTCCCCAATCAGAAATTGCTTCCGCCGCTCCTGTAGGCTAATAGTATTTGAACGGATGAGAAAGATTTAAGACTACAATTACTCTTTGTACTGGAGATTAATTGCGAGGAAAGAACAGTGTGTCATACACGCAGGCTTCTTTATTGCACCACACCTGGATCTATATTAACACATTATTAGCAGACTTAAATAAATTAAACGAGTTAAAACAAATTCCTTTACGTCACCGACTTGACTACCGGACAAAAACATGAATTAGAGCTAGGAAAAATAACATCATTAAATCATTTAATTTATCAAGTACATATAGTTAAACATACATTATGCAAGAGCTAAATCTGCCTACTGTAAGTCTTTATTTAGACTTCGGATGTTATAGAAATTATTAATTAGACCATTATTTACATGATCAACAGCTCAAAATCAACAGCTTGGATATAAACAGTCGTAGGCGGTGCGGACACGGTTGATGCGGAGCATTACATGATAATGAATAAAACAGTTTCGTATTGCAATTAGTGCAGCAGATAACTGCATAATATCAGGCATTTCTTTCAAATGTGGATACAAGTTGAGGACTTCCCTTTTGAAAAAGCTGATTAGCCATTCAAAAATCCGACTTTCGGACAACAAAATATCATTTTTAGCGATCATAAAATCACATTTCTCGAAATCTTAACTAAAGATAAAATCCAAATTTTAGTAGATATTTCAATTTTGATTGGCTAAGCACTAGTAAAATCAATCTTATATTATCCAATCAAATTACTAAAATTTGGATTTTATCTTATTTAAAAGTTGGTGAAACAGCCCCCAGATCTATATTTCGTTTTTTTTTTTTATATATATATATACTTTCGATGGCCTACACTAACTGAAGACCAGTTATTGCGAGGTGGCTTTTGACCTATGACGTCAGACATTGATTAATCAATCAGCGTTGACGTTTCTAGTGGTTTACCGACAGTCCCGTGCATCGCACGCCAAGAAGTCGCCGTAACAGATGGTTGGTTTCATTGGCTAATTCCTCATGCTATCCACCATTCGGCAAACCTCAGCAGATTCCAGTACCCTACATATTGCCTCGGCTGTAAGACGAAGTCCGCCATCGGAACTACTTTCAGGTTCCCGGATTACCAATGGCGTTGCCCATGACGACGCCTTTGAAGAATGTTTTATCATACAAATATTTCAATGTCTGAAGCTATTTTTCTTTCAAGTTTATCCGATTTTCTTCAATCAAGGACAACTTTGCACTAAAAATTCTACACACGCTTCGAACGACGGAATTTTGATAACTTCTTTTTAAAAGCGGCAAGTGTTCCTAATAAGAAAACCGGTGCGGCATCGCAATTGTTTAGGCGTAGGTACACATCACTTACCGTCTTACAGCCGAGGCTACGAGGCTATATGTCGAGTAATGGAATCTGCCGAGGTTTGCCGAGTGGCCATGCAGAACGCAAGTTATATAACGATAGACGTCATTGTTCCAGATCCTAGTGTAGTACAGACAAATAAAACGAAATTTTGAACTATTAAAAACGAAACAAAATAGGATCTGTGTTTTAATCAGATTGATAAAATCACATCACAATGTCCAATTTTATTGAACATTAAATTGGACAAAAATTGTGGGCCAAACAATCGGATAATAATTAGACACGACTGCTATTTCTGGCAATTACCAACCAAAAGTACGAGTATTGGGCTTATCAGGCTGGCTTTAAAATCGGATGTGCTGTAATCAGATAGAGCAACTATGAATGAAACAAAACAAAACATTGTTTGGTTAACTGAACATTTATTTCTTTTTTGTAACTAGTAAATTTCTCCTTACATAAAACAAGATGTCGTTGCAAGAAGACACTTTAAAAAGATCACCGGGTGAAAAAAAAAAAAAAAACATTTTTCAACCTGAATATATCTACAGTTGTTCTTGATTCTTTTGTCAAGACTACTTAAATAACTCATATTAAAAGACACACCATAACACATTATAGTCAGGTCAAGTTGTATGGACAACAATCGGTGCCAAAAATTCTTTTTTGTTTAGTTTCTTAAATAATTTGTTTTTAATATAATTATAATAAAGAGATTATGATGAGTCTTTAATAATGTCCATAATATCATAGTAAATAATAATAATGTATAGTTTGATATTTGCTTATCAATAGAAATTGATCATACTAATGTTGCCCATAGACAAAAATGGTACTCAAACAAATACATATTTTGCTATCCTTCATCATTTTGACTGAAAACAATAAGAAAAATTGGCTGCACATGATTAAAATTTGATTTTTTTTTTTTTAGAATGTGAATAAATGATTTATTATTCATATTCAGTTAGTACGACCTTGAACGAAGGTTAGCAACAGTATTTACTAAGAACCATGATTGTGGGTGTCCACTTTGATTATGTTGCATATAAATATATAATTATATTCTGACTAGTCTAGAAGTGTTGCTTCCTAAATTAACAAAACCATTTTTGATGACATAAAATTTTTGATATTGTCAACTACTTTATTGATCTCAAGTAAAATACTTTGTTTATCGAAGTCAATTCAATAATATGTTCAAGGGAGAATTAGCTCCATTAGTTTTAGCAGATATGTCTTTCCATTTGTCATCATCTTTTGTAAAATTTGGTGTTAAAATTAAGGTTTTCTATTTTTAGATGAAACAAAATATTGAAAAACAAAGTAATATTTGACCTAAGTAGGAATATATGATATTATTATTTAGGATTTTGTTTTTGGAGGAATTTTTTTTTAAAAACAAAAATATACCTTTATGAACCACAAAGATACCTAGTAAGCCATTCCAAATTAAGTATCCAGCATTATATTATTCAATTCTCAATCAACAAAAGGTGTGACCAAAACTAAAGTGATTATTAACCATGGCATAGGTAGGTTTAAGGTAACGTCTAACTCTAACCATGACCCCTGTAAGAATTATTGTTGACTACTTTTATTGCTTGTAAAATCTATGTGTAGTTCTGTTTATTTTTTATTAAACACCAAAAATATTCTCAAAGAAAAAAAAAATATTACTTTCAAACCAACATAAAAAATATTTAGAGGTTTTCAACCTCAATTCATAATTCGGACCCAATTTTCCAAAATAAATTTCTGAAATCACTCAAAAATAATGATGTCTTAAAAATAAAATATTGTATTACAAACAAAGTAACTTCTACACAAAATATCACCCTAAAGGCATGTACACACTAAAACAATTTTCACTGACAACACTGATTGCAATTTTAGTCTATCAAACAGGTGATATTTTAAAAAAAAATCAATGTGGTCAACAAAAAGTCTGATAATATGCTCTGGCCCTTAGACATTATATCATGCAGAATTGACACCCATCACTAGATTGATTTGACAAGAAATGTCATAATTCTATCACAATTACGAAGTAGGATAAATAATAATGTGATGTTAAAATTAACAACAAAAAACAGCTTCACATATCACATCATAAAACATGTGAAAAGCTCAGATGCTTGTCTTGTGTGTCAAAAACATAGCTTCACATATCACATTATAAAGTGATGAAAACATGTGAAAAGCTCAGCTGCTTGTGTCTTGTGTCAAAATGGAAGCTATATTGCTTCTAGTCAATAATTTATGACCTATGATAAATAATTTATATACAGGACCTCACAAAAAACGTATGTGTTTTGTTTATTTGCAAAAATATGTTTAAAACAATGTTTACATTTCTATTGATTACAATGTGTAGAAGATGTAATCTTTAACGGGCAGCACTGTTTTTTTTATTTTTAGATTTGGCCTAATATAGTCTTGGGTTGATTTGATGTTTTATTTCAATTACAAATTGACAAAGCTTTATATGATTTTCATCATGATTTAAACAACAGACTGATGAAAGCAAACTGTCAATAAGTTCATTTACAGACATAAATATTAAATCAAATAGTATATCCATCAATCTAACCCAAAGCTATGTCTTATTTCTTGTTCCATGTATGCTGTTGTTGACAGCATTTAACATTCAAGGTCATGTTTAAGAAAAAATGATTTCTGGGCCTCCGACAACACCATAATACCTTTGTCCTGATATGACAGCTAATCATTTCCCATAATGTATTGTGTCACAATCTCTGCTCGTTACTGATCGCACTCTATAAACCCAAGATAGTTTGGAGTAAACAACTATGAATACATCATGTCAACAATTTTATTTTTCACACCCAAATCAAAATCAAATCCTTTCAAAAATGTGTATTTCGTATTGATATATTACGGAGAGAACTGGTTCTTATTTCCTGTAACTACTTGATACTAGATTTCATCAAACCAGGAAAAGTAATGCTTTTTAATTTTAAATGTAAACTCTACTTCTAATTTACAAGTCTTCCTGAATGCTGAACTCCCCAAGGGCATTACTTGATAAAATGTGATTTATCTAGACTACATACAAACTTGTAGACACACTGTAATTCCTGACTTGATTATTGGGGAATTTGTTTAAAAGATCAAATAAGCTGATAAGTCAGGGTTGCATTAATTTCTAGTCAGATTGGGTTAATATTTGCGTTAATATTTCAAATAGTTTATATTTGTAAATACAAAGTTCATAATAATATACTGATATAAGTATTTTTAATGTATCTTGTGCAATAATGAACTCGTTTCAAGTACCAAAACATTATACTATAACATTTTCCTTTCAATTGCTCAAACTTACACTGAATTTTTGATCTGGGTCACTCTCTGCTTAACTTTGTGGTTTCCTCTCAATGCCGAAAGACCCATATTCGCAAACTAATTATTTAAATATACAAGGTGGTATATCATGTGACATCTGTCTGCTTTAGCAATTTTCCGCCCGTAGATAAAACCCAGGTTAAGGTACCTGTAATGACACAGTGCGCCAAAACTGGAATCCAAAATTAACAAACACACTGAAATTGAGTTTACCACAAGATCACTAATCCCCCCCACACCCCCATCAGATCAACCCAATTCAATACTTTATTTTGACCGAATCAAGGTTCCTATTTGGCAGCTTAGCTTTTCTTATAAAAACATAAATTATTATGATTCTCTCCTCTCAACAAAAACCAAACAAAGAAATTAATACCATCAATCAATCAAATTATGTAGGCTAAAAAAAAATCTTTCCCGTCTATTTATCAAACACATAATTTTCTTTTTTACAAAAAAAATTAAATCGTTTGTATGTCCTTGGCTCAAATTGTTAATATTATGACAAAATTTTACGACTATGATCTAGAACTATAAAGTTGATGTCAACAAAAATGTAAAATAAAATGATGAAATTTGATCAGTGAACCATAAATATATTTTGTATACATACATATCGCATCTAACTATACACATATATATCAACAACTTCACTTTTAATAACACAAAATAACATTGTTTATAATAGCTTCTCTCTATACAAAATAACATTATACAATAACAAATAACTTTTAATCTATACACATTATCCTTATTACAACTAATAATAATCTGTGTAATATATATATATAACTTACATACAAGTCTACAATTCACACTTTTTATATACTAATATACAGGTACATAGATAGGAGAAATAGGGAAAAACCCATTTTCTGTGTCATGATAATTAAACAATGTGCTGAATTGATGATAAGGGTATTTCCCTTCTTTTTTTTTTTTTACATCTGTGCCTAAAATGAAAATATTCCAACCATAGTCAAGGTGCATGTATCTGCCTTTTAATAACACAGTAAAATAGACTACGCTATGTGCATGTTGTATGGCTTGAATACAGGGAATTCTCCTATATAGCACTGCAGAAAAAAAGAGAATATACAGAGAGACAGGTTGGTTAACGATTGCTCATGGTTGATATGATACATAATGATTTGTTTCTACAATGTATAACTATAAATATGATACAAATAGTGAATGAACATGTGCTATCATTAATTTATATTTACAAAGACATGATAAAATGTCTGGATAATGCATCTTTAGACAATAACAACCAGCACTATATATAATAGTTCGACAAAATCTAACAGAAATATCACATGCTAAAATTATGCACAGATTGAATTGACCTCTTTTCTCTATACAATATAATACAGCAACCATTTCTCATCCATAATTTACAAACATGTACATACCTTGTATTGGACAATATCATAAGTGATAACAGTTTAGTGGACAATTAATGTATGCTTAGACACAAACTTCTAGAAGTCTGCAGTTTTAATTTGATTTTTTGACACATAAAATAATGGTTAGATGACAAAGGATTATATATTTACTATATGATTTTCATATTGAGTTCAAAGATGTAAATATTTTCAGTATATCAAGTTTACTGAATAATTTGAACTAGTATAGTCATGTTCAGTAGACTGTCACAATAGATGGACATTGTTCGATGTACGTGTAAGTGAAATTCACACGTGTTAAACAATTTTGATAACAAATTTTTGATATTGAATACACAAAAAAAAGCTGTTAGAATTGAGCTCTACTTGATGTTTACTATAATATACAGGTCCTGTGTGTCAACAGTATTACCTACTCCTAAACGATTTCTAAATGTCTTGGACAAAATAACAGGAAATGGATTAATTTTAAATCAAAGGCTAATAAGCTATGTAAATTTATGAGCATCAATATGACATTTTTACACTGACAACCTGAAGAAAATATTGCAGCATGCATTGACCATATAAATATTATTTTCCAAATCTACACTTGAATGATAAAAATATAAGGGTTCATGATTTGAAATAGTTCTTGCAATAATAAATATTGGATATTGATATTGTTTGAGATGTTTGAAAGTGATTTATAAGTATAGTTTATATGGTGTAACTTAGATTGCATACATATATATAATCTTCCTAACTATTGTATCCTGGATACGTGTCCATAATGTTTCTGTCTATACTGACATGACTGATGAGTTTGCTAGCTAATATTATAATGTAGGTAATAGACCTTATCACACTGAACATAAATAGACTGAAATATTACACATCTCTACATTCATATAATATACATGCGAAAACCTAGCACACAAACAATGGGGGAAAGGAGGGGGGATCCCTATACATCTTTCTTACATCCATTTAGGAAGGGGAATTCATACAAATACATAGGATGGGCAATCTCTACAGAGTACAGACCTCTCTTACTAACAGGATAGGGAATCCCTACAGAAACCCTACAGGGGAATCTCCTTTCTATCCACACACATACATAACAAGGTGGGTTAAATCCTTTTAAAGAACTAATATTTATGCAGTACCACATCAGAAATTAGTATAATTTTCATCGCCACGACAACTAAAACAACAAATTGTCACCTAATATTAAGTGATGTAGTTAGAAAGGATTTATAGCCCCACATCTTTGTCTATATAAACAATCATCACTATCTATACTAGAGAATAATTATGTTAAATCCATTTGTTCCTCAACGACTGTACCAAAATAAGATCTGTCTTGTCGTATCGTCGTCGTCGTACCAGATGCGTTGTCTGATTGATCTGTTGGCACATCATCTGATAAAGTCAGATTTCCAGTAAAAGACAATAAATTTAAAGGATATACCACACTGCTATGATCTACTCCCCGTTTTCTCTCTGCAGGGGCCACAGATAGATCTAGAGGCACATTTTCAAATTGATTGTACGTTTCAACATTACCAGGATTCACCATTGTTTTATGTGACATCACAGCCTCTTTGGGCATGTCAGATGCCCCACACACATTTTCACAAGATTCATCCAGTGTAAACATTAGTCCAGCTTCCTGTTGACGATTAAAATGATGGGTTGTCATGGAAACTGGGTCTTGTTGCCATGGAGATTGATATGGTGTGTCCAGTGAAGAACATGTTGCTGTGGGAACAGTTGACTGGTAGACAGGACCAGTCTTGCTGTAACAGTCATGTGAAATACTTGTCTGAGGCAAGTAAGTGGTCAAACCTTTAGATAAATCTGGGAGACCCTTTGAAGCATCCAAACATGGTGGCATAGAAAACATATTTTTATTTCCGAGATTCTCTGGGTTCGAATAAACATTGCAAGATTGCCGCAAATCTATGGTGGGTAAATTCTGTGGAGTAATATTCAGTTGCTGAAACTGCTGATGAAGTGGAGACGTTTGTCCATGGGCCTGAAACATTTGTCGCTTGTGTTGCAATCGGTGCTGTAACATCTGTGACGTTGTCGATGGAGGGAATTCGTACAACTGTTTGGCGACCTGGGGGTCGTCATCAGGGGTAGCCTTCACCATCTGCTGTTCTAATTGAAGACTCTGTTTTAGAGCCAGAAGTCGATGTGGAGCTATGTCAAAAGTTTCAGAAGGCAGGCTCATTCTCTTCATCAAGGGACGACGTCGTGATGAGTGTACTGGTGTCTCGTCTAACGACCATTGTCGAAAACTAGGATGAAGAGGTGCTGATAATTTTCGATGTGGTACGGCTGCTGATGCTGGTGTGGGCATCACAGTAGGGGGATACTGATACAGATTCTGTAGTTGCTGATGCTCTTGACGTAACTCCAACATACCTTTGGCTCTCATACTTTCCCGTAAACGCTGACGAAATGCAATAATTCCCTGAGCAACTAACCCATCAGATGCACGTCTGCCTTCACGGAAATTAACGGGTGATCTCGTTTGGGATCTATCCTGAGTTGGTTCATCCTGTGACCCGGTCGTTTCGATGCTACAACTATTATTTACCTGTAACATGGATGCAGGATTGATGTTGTCTAAGTTAGAATACGTAGGGGTGAGAGATGTGTTACTTAAAGCACAAGAAGATGAAGTTGTTTGAACACATGACGACAGACTAGAATTAACATCTGCTTCCAGTGACGAATCAAAACTCGTAAACGGTGACTGACTATACATTGTGTTATTTGTCGTCGTGCCATTATTGCTTATAAAATTAAAATTGCTAAAATCCCCGTAAGCACAACTAGGAATCAGTCCGTATCCATCTTTGGCAATTGAATAGCGTCGCTGAAATAGATCATTGTCTGTATCGCGATCTAAAATATCGGCTTCCACACCTTCATCTATAGATGTTGTGATCACATGACCAGCGATAGTTTGCATGGTCTTAACGAAGGGCTGAGGTAAAACGTCTGCTAAACAACCACTTACTCCAATTGGAGAGGGATTCATGTCTGCTTCACTTAGTGTTGATCGTTTTATATTGGATGGCGAGGGGGTCTGCGCCGTGTGGGGAGGATTAACACAGTCCGTCGTTCGACTAAACACACCTTGTTTAACCAGACCAAGAGGTGTTTTATGTCCACAAGAGGTGATTTGATTTGATTTTACTCTCATCATTGCTTGTTCTGCTATCGAACTCGGCCGTCTGCGTCTTGAGTCGATTCTGTTATCTGTAGGGAAACTACTTCGATGATGTCGTAATTTATCCAAGAGAAGATAATATATTGCGGTATAATGATCATAGGCATCGTTCTTTAAAGCCTGGGAAAAAAAGAGGAAAACTATTTGTCAAAATACTATTCAAAAGAATGATCAGGATTTAATACATATAACTTATTATTGAGAGAGAGAGAGAAATGGGGTTTAACATCCACTCGACACAAACTAGGTCATCTCGGTACTAACATATAGTTCAATTTTATTTCAATAATTCGCTTGCGCATAGGGGTTTTTAGAACTGGAGGACCCGGAGAAAACCCACGAGATTGGGCAGGCGAGCCCTACTCCTTGTCGCGTACAACCAGGGAATCGAAGCCAATGTAGTTGACTCACGCGCTAGTCATTCAGCCATCCACCCCCACCTATGATAAACATAATTGTGCCAGCACAATTTGCAAAATACATTTGGCTCAAAATATACAGTGAAAATAGCTTGACCTTGGGTCTTTCACAATTATTGCATTACAGGTAGTTTCATTCAGACAAAGGTTTATACCAGGTGTTTCATTTCAAATTGTGCCAGTTGGTCAATTTTTAACGTATTACAAAGGTGACAGAATCTTGTTTAATAAAACATACATTTTCTGAGTACACACTTAAAATCAGATAAGCTGAACACCTACCTCCATTGTTTTTTGTTGATCTATACCTAAGCTTTGCATGATTCGTAATATTTTTTCGTTGAATTCCCCGACTTTGGCGTTATATCCGATTAAAGGACTAGAGGGAGGTAGACTAGGCGGTCCGCCTTCTAACTGCATCCATCGATGACTTTTGATCTGATTAACTGAGTAGCGTTTATTTGGATCTAATACCAACATCTTGCGTATTAACTGTTCACATTCTATAAGACAAGACAAACATTATAGTGGAATTTGAAAAATCATTTGGAACAATTTGTGAGAACTTGGTGATTCAAAATCATAACTGCATTTACCGTAATCTAAAAAGTGCCCCCGATTGTCAGGAAAATAATTATTCTAATTAATTATACAGCAGTAAAACACAGCCATGGTTTATATCTGAAAGTATGGTCACTTAATACTAATAGAATAATCAACATATTTAATAAAGGGTAGACCTTTACATGAAATAGCTCATGTAGATCCTAATTAACCTGAGAATGAAAGATATAACCTACCTGTTGACATAAAGAATGGGATTCTAAATCTTCCTGATAAAACACGATCCCGTAAAGAAGGTAAATTGGGTCCGTCAAATGGTAAAGCTCCACACACCAATACATATAATACTACTCCAAGACTCTGTTATCAAATCAATTAGATAAAATAAAATGAATACAATACAATACTTTAAGTTGAGCTATATTGAGACTAACATCTTTTTTTTTTGCTACAGTTGTCAAGGGCTCTTTTATGTAGAATATTAATTTGCACACAGGATCTCAATTTTTGCTGCAATCAGAACAACTAGAATTAGAATAGGAAGATCAACATGTCAGACAGATGTTTGGCACCTTATCCACAATCCCTCTTTTATCTGGCTATGCAATTCAGACATAGGTTCCTATAAGACTAACAGCAAAATATTACACAGTATTTAGGCTATAACCTACCCATATATCAATTTGGGGACCAAGATACTTCTTTCCTTCAAAAACTTCTGGTGCAGCATATGGTGGACTACCACACCATGTAGCCAATTCTTCATTTTCTTTGAAGAAATTACCAAATCCAAAATCTGTAAATAAATAAAAATATGCATTTTATATTTTATAGAATATTAATTCTGGGTCATAAATGGCAACAAAACAAACTCTTTACTTTACTCATCTCAAGTTCTTTTTTATATAGGCCTATGTAACCAGAAAACACATTTATGCAATGAAAGATGGGAGAGACCACAGCAAATCTGTCAAGATACAGTATTTATCAACTGACAAGCAAAGTGGAAACAAAGTGTATTAACATACTCCTTGTCCTTGACAAGCAAAATATCATATATTCTTTAATAGAAATTTAAAATATAGGCCCACTCCATTGACAAGTGGAATATTATAAAAGAATACATATCTAAATTGAAAATAACTGTCATGACTCATTGTCATAAATTCAAAAGGTCAGACATAATGATCATTAATTAGTCATTGTGGTCTGACACTAATTAAGTCATTAACTGAATCTACAAAATTTATTTTCTATTATTAGAAAACAAGCGGTTGCCATGCAATATACGCCCACATTTTGCAAGAGATGGACAGAGAACAAGCTCAAAAAAAGAAGTGATTTTTTCGTACAATCAAGGGCCATAATTCAGGAAGTTATGATCCAATATGTGCGAATATCGAAAGGAACCAAGATCTTTAAGTTATAAATATGTATTTCAAGTTTCATCAAAATCGGATCAAAATTGTGACCTCTATAGGGTCCACAACCTTGATATACCATATTTTTACGCTATTTGAGAACGAACGGCGGCCATTTTGTCTGTCAATTTTGGGCCAATTTTCACGAAATTTGAACTCAGTCGACCCTAGGGTGTAACGGTGATATATATCTTTTTTTATATCGGATAAAAATTATGACCTCTATAGGGTCCACAAGCTAAAAACGCGATTTTTCGTACAATCAGGGGTCATAATTCAGGAAGTTACGGGCCGATATGCGCGAATATCGAAAGGATCCAAGATCTTTGGGTTATAACCTTACATTTCAAGTTTCAACAAAATCGGATAAAAATTGTGACCTCTTTAGGGTCCACAACCTTGATATACCATATTGTTACGCTATTTGAGAACGAACGGCGGCCATTTTGTCTGTCAATTTTGGGCCGATTTTCACGAAATTCGAACTCGGTCGTCCTTAGGGTGTAACGGTGATATAATAATACGGGTTTTTAAAATCGGATAAAAATTATGACTTCTACAGGGTACACAAGCTAAAAACGCGATTTTTCGTACAATCAGGGGCCATAATTCAGGATGTTACAGTCCGATATGCGTGAATATCGAAAGGAACTGAGATCTTTGGGTTATAAACTTACATTTCATGTTTCAACAAAATCGGATAAAAATTGTGACCTCTATAGGGTCCACAAGCTAAAAACGTGATTTTTCGTACAAACAGGGGCCATAATCCATGAAGTTTCGATCCGATACATGCCAATATCGAAAGCAGCCGAGATTTTTTTGGGATAAAGCTATATTTCAAATTTCGTCAAAATCGGACAAGAATTGTGACCTGTAGAGAGTCCACAAACAAATTGAAGACGTCCGGACGGACAGGGGCGATGACAATATACGTCCACATGAAAATGTGGGAGTATAATAATTATTTTAATAAATCATAGGTCTGGTCTATTATTGTAATTTATGAAATAACAAGATCTTCCTATATTAACATGGATGTCGGCCATCTGAATATAATATTATATAGCGAATATGTATAACTAGTCTATTATAGTGAACAAGCCATCAAGGCCAATCTCCATGCTTTTTCTTATAGTGGTTGTCATTGAGTTTATTAATGTCATGAAATTATATACCAAGTTTCATCACTTTAAGTTCTTTAATAACTCAATTACAAGCAAAGTTATTGTGTTCCAAAATCAAATTGCTTAACCTGAGCAGTTAGCCTAAGGGGAAATGCTCATCATCATCAAACACAGTCAAGACATTTACTTAATGAACTTTTTTACCTCAGTTTTAGATTAAAAGTGCTTGTACAACAGACAGAAAGACAGTCAAACCTATTTCAACAGTCTTCTGATTTCTCTGAAAGGTGAGGGACAAATAGAAAAGTTACAGACATGAGTACCGTGTAATCAAAGAAACCCTTTGATGTTATATTAAAACAGCTATATCTACTGACGACCTCATGATGTGTAATATATCTGTATAAAATATTTAACTATGTACAGGTGTATTTTTACTCACCTGCTATTTTAATATTTAAATTTGCATCCATCAATAAATTTTCTGCCTGAAAAATATAAAAAATGCTTCCATAAAATAACGATGAATTTCTAAAATCAATATAAGAGCAAAAACAAGTTGTGTAGGATGTAAGCTTATCTACACAATTATAAAATTATGTACAGTAGGTCATTTTAATATTATCAAGGTAGTTTTTCATGAATGTTGATATACACACTCTTAAAGTTTTATCAGGTGTTGTCTATCAATTACATAACAATTTATTAATCAGAGATTTCATTTTGTTTTCCTCAGATTAGCATGAAAGTTTTTCCATCTGACTCAGCTAGAATATCTCATTTGACATTTGCAGTTAGCACTTTAATAGCTAGGCTAAGATAAAGAATAGAGTTCAATTTTTAATCAAAACAATACTTTGGTGTTTTTTAGAGACTAAGTTGGGGTTTTTTTTGTTCATTTGTGCAATACCAGGCAGGGAGGACAATTGCTCTTAACAACTTATCTGCATAAAATGCTTACTACATAAGATGTCACTCTTGCATTCACATCTGATGAGACACATGATAGGTATGTATGTGGTGTTATCATATCACTCATAGTTTGACTCGTATAGCCCGTTCAGACTCTTATTTTTAAACCAGTTCATAATCGCTGGGGTTTTTAAGACAGCATCGTGTTGTGTTCACACGTACTATAAGCCAAACCAGTTTAACTATTCTGACCTCTTCAGTCGGAGGTTAGAGTTAACTGCGCATGGGTAGCTTCATATTCTTTATTCGGTTCTCGAAGCAAGCTGGAGCTGGGGTTTTTAAGCCAACCCGTTCAGACGGCTAAGATGAACCAGTTTAAAATAAAAAGCCTTCTCGAAGACAGGTCGCGAGCAGGGTTTTTTAAACTGGTTAATTTGCCCCACATTTGCGTTCAGACACTTAAGTTAAACTGGTTTAACGATCCCCAGGGTTTTTAAACCAGTTCAACTTAAGCGTCTGAACGGGCTATTAGATAGAGTTTGGTTTGGTGAAATAATTGCCCCCAACCGCCTCTAACGAGTTAAAGGGCCATATTGTCTGGCATTTTGGATTTTACTATTATCTAATCACCACACAACATAATGAACAATTTCAGTTTATTCCTTGGTCCCCAAAACAAACAATTAGACACCAAAATTATCATTCTAGACTAAATACTATGCGAGTTATAGCGGAATATGGGGAATGGCGGCCATCTTGAATGTCTCAAGGGTGACGAAGGTTCACCCGCCAGATTCTAAAAGCGGACACCTTAGGCTACTAAAATTAATTTTTGTGTGGTCTTAACAGGTATATGTGTAAATAGGTATAACAAGGTGAACGTACTTTATAGATGATATCAATCAAATAAAGATTAACATTAAAATTATCTTATTCAACTTGCTTAATGTCATATAAAGTTCATCTTATTTCTTCTCTAAACCAAAATATTCATGTTCATGGTTGCCTCAAGTTGTATTGACATTTTAATACTCATTGCCAATATCACCAGTTGTTTAATAAGCTTACAGTAAAAGAGTTTGTAAAGCCAGTATCACCATTTTAATCTAAACAGATTGTAGGGCTGATAAGATCACATTTCTATGCATATTTTGAATAATAATTAACAGTGTGAAGGTGCCTTTAGCCAATATAGATACATGTACAGTGTTAAATTGGTACCTGTTTTGCAGTTTAGCTCGGGACCCTGCTTGGCTTAGTAGCATTTTTTTTTTAAAACTATATTTTTGTAAGTTAATTGGTAGTCAAACAAAATATATAATACAGCACTCAACAGACCACAGTAAAACCTAATAATAATAAGAGGCCCATGGTCCTTAACTGCCCATGTGTATTGAAGATTTTGGTTAACGAGAATTTTTGAATACCTAGAACATAAAAACATTGTTATTTCCTTTATTGATGAATATAACATAAACAAGCCAACAGTGAGGCTGATGTCCCCCGCCGAAATAGGAAAATAATTAGAGGACACATATAAATTTATCACAAATTATCTTTTACAAAGTATTGAACAATCGTAGATGAGTTATTGTTTTCCAAAGTCTCGACCAATCAAATTGCGTATCGCTCTGCTTACCCTGAGCAGAAAATGCTCATTATCAAACTTAGTCAAGGTATTACTGTAATGAAACTATACACCAAGTTTCATCAATCTCACTTAATTAGAACTAAAGTTATCGTGTCCCAAAGCATCAACCAATCAAATTGCTTATCTCTGCTTACCCTAAGCGGAAAATGCTCATCTTCGAACTCCATCAAGGCATTGACCTAATCAACACATACACCAAGTTTGAACATTCTAGCTCAATTAGGAAGAGAGTTATCGTGCCCCAAAGTATCAACCAATCAAATTGCTTATCTCTGCTTACCCTAAGCGGAAAATGCTCATCTTCGAACTCCATCAAGGCATTGACCTAATAAACACATACACCAAGTTTGAACATTCTAGCTCAATTAAAAGTTATCGTGTCCCAAAGCATCAACCAATCAAATTGCTTATCTCTGCTTACCCTAAGCGGAAAATGCTCATCTTCGAACTCCATCAAGGCATTGACCTAATCAACACATACACCAAGTTTGAACATTCTAGCCCAATTAGGAAGAGAGTTATCGTGTCCCAAAGCATCAACCAATCAAATTGCTTATCTCTGCTTACCCTAAGCGGAAAATGCTCATCTTCGAACTCCATCAAGGCATTGACCTAATAAACACATACACCAAGTTTGAACATTCTAGCTCAATTAGGAAGAGAGTTATTGTGTCCCAAAAAGTGTGACGGACAGACAGACGGACAGACAGACGGACGAACCCATTTTAATAGTCCCCTGCTTTCTTCGAAAGGCGGGGGACAAAAATGTCAAAATAGGTTCCATATAACAGGGTACCAAATAGATATGAAACGGTTTCTCCCTCACTTAACTCCAACATACTCTAGGAACAGAGCAAAACTGGGTACCAAGTCAAACCGTGACAACAGTATTATTTGTATAGTAAGAGTTAAGTGCATGTGTGCTGATGTGTATACAATTACACCAAGCTGACCTGACTTTATCAAAAGGATCAGAATGTTCTTAAATAAATTATTTCCGAAAGTCAACTACATGTACATGAGGAAACCTTTTCTCTGTATCAAAAGATTCATGTTGGCTTTTTTCTTAATTCATCCTCTGGTGTGCAATAAGCTTAAACCTGTTTTCGGACTGTATCTCCACTGACATCAATAAATAAATCAAAGCATCAGCTGAGTTACTTCCCTTATATTTGATCTCTTAGCAGGTATTAAATGTCAGGTTTGACGTCAGAGTGTAAGGTGATCTCAAGTTGAAACTAATCAAACCTATTTATTGGAATCCTGCAAATCTTGTCTCTCTCGCCAAAACAAACATTAGTCACAAATTACCCAGGCAAAATCGGGCACTGAATCAAATATAATTTGCAGAAGTAGAAATCTATTTTAAAATCTACATCTTTTTCCCCTTTTTAGATATCATAAATAGAAGACTAATTGCTCCTCAATTCCCTCTACAATTTTTTTTCTAAAAAGTAAATAGCAAATTGTTCACAGAGAGAATAACAAAATTCTATGCTTTATCAATAAGATAATTAACATTGATTTTTTTGATCAAGTTCTTGTCTTCTTTGAAGCTATTTCAAGATTTCTATTTTAATTCTTGTGTATCATCATTATAAAAAATTGCTTCACTTTCACTTTGGCCCCAATCTGAATGACCAGAAATAAATCTGTGTTAATTTGTTAACAAGATACCTCGACTCTGCTCACACTGATAAATAGTACCGGAAATAGTGTGGCATATAACCTATTTTTTCAATCTGAACAGAAAAGTTTGGATAAAATTATTTCGGGTAAATTGCAGAATTGTATTAATTATATAACTGCAAATTGGATTATAATTTGCTAATAGGTGGAGTTATGGAATTTCATTATCGCATGATCTTTGCTATTTTGCTGAAATGGTCTAGACAAATCCTGCAAATAGTACATGACCACAATTTACAAATGACTAATGAGTAACATTTTTAGGGAACTCTGTAAAAGATGCTGGTTTTACAAGTTACGCTTTGGCAATGTGAACCCATAATCAAAAAGTGGTTGCCATACAAGATACGCCCACATTTTGCTAAAAAAGAAAAAAAGAAGCGATAATCCAGGGAGTTTCGGTCCGATATGCACAAATATCAAAAGAAACCGAGATCTTTTGAATATAAACAAATATTTAAAGTTTCATCAAAATCGGATAAAAAATTATGATTTCTAGTGGGTCCACAATCCACAACCTTGGTACATGTATAACCATTCGAACTCAGCCATCATTATGGTGTAATGTTGAATAAAAATTTGGAAAGGAACCTAGATCTTTAGGAGATAAACCTATATTTCAAACAAACTGTGAACAGACAGGAGCGTTGACAATATACGTCCACTTGAAATTTGAGCATATAAAAAAAGCTCAGATAAATGTATGTGACTGCACCAAGTATGTAGGTTTCTTATTAATCAAATACAGAATTGTCTAAGCTTATATAACCATAAAAAAGCAATTACATTTCATATCATATCATATTATAATTAAAATTTGATTTAATACGCTTGATTTCCATCAAGGTTTTATTTCTATAATTATAGAAGATACTTGATATGAATATAATCCTTGAGTGTCATTTAGCGAATGGGCACATTAAAAAACACAACACAATTTATATGGAAATTAATCACTGGTTTATAGTTTATACACATATAGCACGACTTTTCAACAAGTATTCTCTTATAGTTTTCAAGTACAAATGGCTTCTTTTTATATGACTATAAATATTACCTTTTAGTTTACTATTTTTGTACTTGAAAACAATAAGAGAATACTTGTCGAAACGTCGTACTAGATGTGTATAATAAATTGTGTTGTGTTTAATTTATTTGATATGAACTTGATTACTTTATGTCTATCAGGTAAATTTGATACTATCTGTTTATATAACATGACTCTACTAATGTACATTGTAAAATCTTCCAGGTAAAGATCAAACTTAAAATACCCCACCTCAAAGTGTTCCTGTTGTAACTCTTAACTTATGCATCACGGTCTTACAATGTACATAAGCCTATAAATAAGGAACAAGTCACCAATTATGATGTCAGGCTCAAATTTAGGATGTATTTCAATTTTAATGTATGACCCGAAAAAGTTCAGGTACAAATTTAATTGTGGTTAACATTTTGTCTGTTGTTACACCAAATAACATTATATTCTGACCTGGATAGGTGTATATTTAACATATTATATGAATAAAATAATGTAGATAAGATAGCATGGTCTAAAAATGAAGCATCTTAATTTGAGGAACTTAAAGAGGCATTATTCAAGAGCTAAATCTGATTATTGCAGGTCTTTCTTTAGGCCTTAAATGTTATATAAATTATTAATTAGACATTCATTAACATGACAATGCAAGATAACTCGCGATGCTATCGGATGCCTTTGATTTTAAGTAGACTAGAACTGTTCAGCCATTTAATGATTTCATTTAAAAATGCAGAAGCAAGGCTAAGACTCAAAACAACTAGTACGGTGGTTACGATAATAAACAATCAATGCACAGATCATGTCAAAACTACAAACATTGATAACTTCACTAAGAATAAAGTAATTTGAATTAAATTTTCAATATATTCATTTTGCATTATATCTATTTTTGAACTATTATAGCAAGAACGACAGTTCTTTATCCAAGTCTTACATAATGTATCTTTATATCTCATTGTCAATATAAGCAAGAAAGCTTATCCGATAAGAAAATATCGCTCAATATTTAAAATTAAGACTTTTAAACAAGGTCAGCAAACTCGGTTCTTTGCATTGATGTGCATACACTGTGATTTAAATGTTTCAAATTATCGTCAAAACATGATCATCAAATTATATTTCAGAAAGAATGGTTTTAGATCACGGATAATATAACAAGTAAATTTTACTTCTAGTCTGAACTGTGCATCAATGATAATGAAAATCTTCAGCTTTCAGCTACACATTTTTCTTCGACAAGCAGAAAGAGGACTTTTAATTTTTTTAAAACTGATCTAGTTCTATTGTAAGATGAGTTTTGTTACGTAAAAAAAAAATAATTGTTTGACTCTATTAAAGTATAACATGTTTAAATTAGACTGTAGCTATCATTGAGATACAGACAATATAATTAACTTCAGTGTCAACATAACATCCAATAATTATAAACAATGCTATAATACACGTTAAAGTAGTTGGGAGAATCCTCACAAAAATATAGTACTAATGATATGAAATGGCAGTGTGTTAGTATAAGGAGAATTTTGCCCGGTCAGTGGCACTACAGTCTATTTCAAATTCCAACTGTCAAGGGATCTTTTATGTGCATGCCAATGTGTACACACGACCTAGGTTTACTGTCCCATCCAAACAACTAGACACTGTTCTTTACCAGACCCTGTCGTGCACAACCGACATGTGAAACCAAGCACAGGAGTACAAAGGAACCCCCATTCTAATGTCTTAAAATAGTGTACAAACCAAGTGAATTTTATTGAAAATTACGAATTACTTTATTCTGACTGAGCAAAGTTATGAATGTTTGAAGTTTTGACAAAAATTGCCATAAAACAGTTCATATTATATTCTCAATTGCCAAGTGCCATTGCCATGATAATTAACAAAGTTTCAATTTTCAGTCCTTTCATCCTAGTCTCTGACCATATTAGCATTTATCACAGATATGGCAGGCATTTTCTCATCCATCTAAAGGTTTATCATATGAATAAATAATAATTTATATAACATTTGAAGCCAGAAACACGCCCAGCAATATACAAGTTTAGCTATGTCTCTTTAATCTATACTATTTATTTACAAAGTATGTACCTAAAATGAAGTCATTTTGAGTACAAAAGAATGTGCTATATATACCAGTACCTGTTGAATGTAGAAGTATATATATTCGCTGTACTGTAACCAACATAATACAAGTATAAGGTTAGATCATACACGATTAAATTACATTTGAGCAAATTCTATATATTGTTATATCGTAGCTATAAATACACTGTGAACCAAATGACATTTTAAATAAGTTAGATAATCTCAACCATCCATCACATCTTGCTGTTTTAATTTCTAGACAAGTTTTCATAATGAAACAAGACAAAACTTAACCCTACTCGCAAGTCAGAATGTGACTCAAGTTGAGTTTCAGAAAGATTTCTCCTGCTGTCAAGCTAATCAGATTGCTGGCAATGTAGCCACTGTGGGCCTAACACACGGTCATTATTGACCATTATAAAAATCAGACAAAGTTGGAATTCAATAAGATCAATTGTATGAAATATGAAATATTGTAATTAAATGACTGCTTCTCTAGTAATGATTAACGATCACAGTTGACTGAGCCTACAAGCTTATATAGCTATTTTAATAATAAAATTAGCCCGGTAATCTGGACCCACATAATGACAATTTGCTTTTAGTTATCATGTATATTTATATTCTAGGTGAGAATGGGTTGGTCACTGAGTCATATGGAAAATACATGTAGTGTGGGATAAGCCAAAACCCTAGTAGTGACAGTTCTTACCTGGGTTGACCACTAAGTGTAGGAAGGAATTATTGAAATCTACTCTTTAAAATGAAATCAAATACCGGTAAATCCAATGTAGTGTTAAAAACCTGGCCAGGGACTAAAAATAAATAGTTTTCTTGGATGATGTGAGGGGTCATTGTGTCTGTGGGTACATATAACATGAATCATGGCTTTTCTCTCCAGATCTCTGATAATATAGTACCATGGTTCGGAAACCTGTATGTATAGTGTTGCTAAATGTGTATCTAGATTTCCGACCGGTACCTACCTTTAAATCCCTGTGTACTATATGACGATTATGACAATATTCCACGGCTGATAGTATCTGCCAGAATTTTCTACGAGCTTCTGATTCCATCATCCGACCATGTTGTGCTATATAATCTGTAAAAAAATATTCATATAGCTGATAAAAAGGGATATTTAACCCTTTGAAATTAAGAATGGGATGTGATAGTTATGTTTATCAGGTAACCTATATGTACATGTAATCTATTCTAGCAATTTTGTCAATCATAATATTATTATTTTGAAAATCTATAATACACTAAATAGCAGAATACACATTTCAGGGTATTACAAGTTAACAATGTAAAGTTAAAAAATGTAGGATTGATTCTTTATTTAAAGACAATGACCAAAATCCCTTCTGTCCCAGAAAAATAATGTTAATTAATTATTGATGTCATTGCTATATATGTAATTACAAATTGATGCTTATTTCATATTTATTTTGGTTGATTGAAGTGTTATCAACATAAAAATAAAAAAGAAATGAGGAACTGGTCTAATATTTATAACATCTTATCCCTAATAATAATATTCAGCTTCACAAACACAGCTCTTTAAATTATATATTCAATGGAGACTAAAAGTACATGTAGTGTACAATAATATGTAACTACATACAAAAATACAAGATAAGTACCTGGTACATGTTATCATTATAGACATATTGATTTAATGTATAAAAATATATCAAATATAGTTCATTGACATCCAAACTAGAACAGAAAATCAATACTATAAGGTATACCCAAGTCATAATAATATCATCTGATGACTGACCCTTTCAAAATGACACACAGTTCACAATCTGTTACAACTTGTTACATTCATCAACACCACACACTCATCGATAAAAACAGTTCCTACCATTATTTTTTTATCATGTTAAAACAGACTGTTACATCATAAACTCAGATTTACATGGTCAGATTGGTTATCAGAAAGAAATGAAATGAGGTTTAATGTTCTGCTCCAACTGTGCTAATGAAGGCGGGCATTTACCATACAGTGTGCTATGAGGGAAATTTTGCCTGGAGACTGGCACTACAGCCTTCTCTTATATCGAATTCGGATGACTATATACATTGTACCTTGCCAGGCATATTTTAGATGATAAAAAAATAAAAATTGTCTTTAACAAATCAATCAATAATTATTATTAAGTTCTAACTCTGCTGACACCTAGTAACCTTTCCTCCGAAGGAAAATCACTTCACTCATCATATGTAAGCTTTCAAAGTGGTTGGTTGATGCTCCGTTCCTAAATGTCAAAGGATAGTATTGCGAAATTCTTTTAAGTTTTCAATTGATTTTTTCAAGTCTGCTTTTATAAATAGAAACTGAACAGATCTATGTCTGTATAAAAATAACCATGATGATTTTTTTTTTTTGTAAACTAAGAACCCTTTCGAACTTTAACTGAAATATCACCAGGATTTCCATGTAAAACCAATTGCAAACCAAGTCTAAATATTTTTTGAGACATAAAGTGTAAGTTCATACAAAAGTTTAATAATAAAAATCTGTTATCTGTCACAATCTAATTAAAATTACAGGTATCATTCATTATTCCTTGTTATTTTTTTTTTAATAATATCTTTGGCCTGCACTGCATACACTGCAGTACTGCAGAAAACCTAAATGTCAAAGGGACTGGCAAAGCCTTTTACAATGACATAAAATACAAATAGCCAGAATAAACTTCAGTGCCAAAATTAATCTGAATATTAGCTGAATACGTTTTGAATGTGAAATGACCCGAACAAAATATATCAGGAGGGATAAAACAATTCACAAGAAATAAAACATTTATAAGTAAAACCAAAAATAGAGAACAGAACTAACAAGACAATTTGACATAAATTATATGTCTATTTATTTGAATAAAAAGCCTGATATAACCATGTTAGATATAACAGCAGTTGTGTAGAATCCATCGACAACTTGTTACCTTACAGCCATTCCATCAAGTAGTAGAGTGAAGTGATTCAAACAGTTCTAGCCAGCTGTGATTACCGGCTTACCAACACTTTCACAGAATGTCAATATTACAATTAACGGGATGGACTGACGTGACATACAGAGTCTTGTTATATAACCAAGTTCAGGGTTGTCTTTACTCTCATCCTCCTCATCGCGAGGTAATGAAAAGTTGGGAGTAATTTGGTTATCATTGTTAGAAGCTAGACATCTTTCAGGCACCCAGACTCCATTTTGAAAGGTTTCTCACTGAATCACTCGAAAATTGACCAAGATGGTTTTTCTTTAATATAAGACAGCCAACATACATCGTTACAATAACTTAACACAATGTTTACTCCAAACGATCACAAGTTCTTCAATTCAATCAATTGACTCTTTCAATAAACACATAATCAATTTTACTTCCTACTAGAAAACTTGCCCAAATGCCATTCCACGATGGTGCCATTGAAAGAGAAATAAGTCATCATTTCCACTAGTCAGTAAAGACTACTAACAACATTTATGCGGTAATCAGGCAGAAATGAATCCATACCTGGAGCTTTTTGAAGTTTTAACCAAAATTTTGTCAAGATTTCTCAACAATACAATATGGTATTTGAGTGGAAATAATTTTTATACACCTGCATGGAAATGTGTTCATACATTGTCATCACCCCTTTCCGTACGTCGTCCACAATTTCTTGTGAACACTCTACAAACTACATTTATCATTTGGTTGTTTTGAAATTGATATACAGTATGTTGTTTACAATTAATTAGTGAGATAAAAAAGCCTATTTAATTTCAATAATTTTCATGAATTTCTTCTGGAATTATGGCCCTTGTTTCACTTTATTGTACCTTGTGAATGTATGAAATTCTTACACAAAATGTAAATTAGTAAAACAAAGAATCCTATTGAATTTCATCAATTTCCAATAATTACTTCTAGAGTTATCACCCTTGTTTAACCCTGTGAATGCTCGAAGGATGAAAGGTATCATATGATCTGTATAAAATTTATATGCATCATTTAAATTAGTGAAACAAAGAAGCCTATTGAAATTCAGCAATTTCCAATAATTACTTCTCGAATTACGGGTCTTTTTTTACTTTATTGAACAATGTGAATGCTCGAACAACAAGTCATCGTCTGATCTGTATGAAATTTATATGCACTATTTAAATTAGTTTAAACGAAAAATACTGATGAATTTCAACAATTTTTGTTTATCATTTCCAGGCCCTGGTTTCAGTTTGTAGCACCTTGAGAACCCTCAAAGGACAAACATTGAAATTGTCTTGTAAATGCTCCCCACTACCTACAAAATATTAAATATGCAACAATCCTTGTGGACCGCTCGACGATTTGGCTGCTGTGGGCATGTTTCGTTACCTGGCAAACCTATCCTTGTAAAGTTGTTTCTTTTGTAACATTTTATTATGCAATCTTAAATTATAGTCCATTTATTTAAAGCCAGAACAAGCCAGATCATTCACATATATATAATTTGAAAGGTAAAAAAAAAAGGTAGTATTTTAATGTAAAGAGTGTACCCTGTATTTATTGTGTAATTGAGCACATATGGGTATATAACGACCTAGGTACATGAGAATGGCCTAGCTTGTACAAAAAAGATAGCACAAATTATTATCATTATTGTCTACGACATACATGTAAAGATGGTGATGTGAAATCAAACAAAAAACAACCCAACTTATAATTAAAACAGCCATAACTTACAAATCATTTATAATTGAATGATTTGAAATTTTTTTAGGATAAAATTTTTTTTATAAACTTGATTCTGCCATGTTGGCTTTTTAATAATACTTACCAAATATTTCTCCATGAGGTGCATATTCCGAAACCAAATATAGCATATTTTTAGTTTCCATAACCTACAAAGAGTAAAGAAAGAAAATTAGAAATGTTACAAGGCCATTTATTCATTTTTAGCACTGGCCACGTCAGATTCCATTTATCACCTATCTCCTTCCTAAATAATCAAAGCTACAGTCCTGACTGTTGTAGAAAAGGCCAAAATAACATTTTTCTTATTTACATTAAAACAAGGCTGAAAGGTGGATCTATGAAACTAAAAGTATGGAACTTGAAAGACTCCAGGTGCCTTAATTGCATTTTTCAGAAAATCTTTAATCATCACATGTTAATCATTGCAGAGGTGGGTGGGGGGGAATGGTTTTTTGGGGGTTTTTTTCAGTTTGAGTAAAGTCTGTACCATTACACAGATCCGGGATTGTACAGCGCAGTGGACGCTTATGGCTGGCGCCTGGATTCATTCACTTGATTTGATATTTGTTTATTTTATGCAATGTCTATATTCTGTCTTGTCCGCAGGTTTATTTTGTAGATTTTGTTTTGCATGTATTTTTATCAGAGGCCACAGGGGGTCAATTTTGAGTTGCGTAAAAATACATTCCAAAATTTTGCATTTTTTCCTTCTACATTTGCGTGACTTAGAGAATCTCAAAATACTCAATAGAAGCAAATATAATGGTTGTGTGACCAACCCTATTTTAAGCGTCTTTATTTTATTGGTACTGTATTTTGTCTAATGAAGACTAGAGGTCAACGGCATATCTATGGTTGATGGCACAGTCATTTCAATCTTTCACTTCGACAGGAAGTAATAAGCAAACTGTATCTCTACGAAAGCCAATATTTGATTGGCTGAATGTAAACAATTTATCATATACTAGCCAATCCAAAGTCTTGTATGAAATGTGAGTTATTGTTATAGAAGGCTTACTGCCATGAACTTAAAGATTATCGAATGAAATAAAAGGAAATATGTTTTAACAAAATCTAATATTCATGTCCATATATTTTAATGGTTTATTTCAATATTTATGACCATATAATTAAGGCACAGTCGTAAGCTAGCAGACAGCTAATTCAGGCACAAAGAAAACTTATCCAGTCTTTTTATTGGCATAATAGTGTAGTTGTTGAATGTCTGGATATAAAAACCTACGGAGACTAGTGTAGCGGTTAATGACGCAGTGTACAAACTACAACAAAGATTTTGAAAGATATAATAGAATAATTTTATCGGTTATCTAAACATAATCTAATTATTCTCACGTTAAGGAAATTTTCTGTGTGTAAATTACGCAGCGTCCGACAATATTTGCATAAGCAAATTATTATAAAATAAAATTGAACCATGTTTTTGTTAGTCCCAAAATGTTCTAGTTTGTGTCGATTGGATAAACCCCATTTCTATCACTCTCTCTTAATCAATCCATGCTAAAATGTAGACTCAGATTGATTATTTAACATATAATTAACAGAATCAAACCAAAATATCGACAGTAGATACATGTACATGTAGTCCTAGTTTGAATTCAAAATCTATTAAAAAGACGCCTTTCAAAAGATTCAGCCGCTGGCTCAATCGATTCTTTAGATACTAATTTAGATAATAAAACAAAAATGTAGGTACATGTGAAATAACATCTTAGACATGACACCGGGAAGACAAATGATCACAAAGAAAGAAAGGTGGTGGCCAGAAATGAATAAAGTAATGTGAACTTTAGATGACCATAACTTCCTTCAGCGTTAATCATTATTGACAGTTAGGATTTTAGTAAGACTATTTTTTATTGTGTATGGTTTAAAGACTAGATTTTTCCATTAACTCAGAAATCTTTACATCAGCTCCCTTGAAACACATCTTGGCAACAAACATGTGTTTGAATATATTTTCCAATCGAAGATGATATATTAAGGATCTCAAATTGTGTTGCTTTAAATTTATTATTTATTGTATTGTATAAGATTGATTTTGTATTGTTTTATATATTGTTAAAAAGTACAATAAAGAGTTTTTATCTATGTTTTGATATCAGATAATAAAGACAGCTATATTTAGCTCATATATCTATTAGATAAATAATAATCAATATCTAAAATAGAACTATATAATAGATTATACAACTTATATATCAACCATCTTAATCGCACTCTACATGTACCTGGTAACAATAAAAAGTAAGCTCACACTACCTGGTTACATTACATGTATTTAAATACTGAAAATTCAAAAATACATATTGTCATACATATTTTTAATTCTGGAATGTACAATACAATGTAGGGCTGTACGATATTTCAAAAAGGGACGATATCGATATTGGCATTTTTTTCAACGATATAGTTAAATATCGCGATATTTAATAATAATGTCACTTTGCTATTGAATAAATTAAATATAAATGCATTAAAGCTACAGTGTGAGTAAGACTTGTGGGTAAGAATTGCTTTATTCATACACTACAAACTTTGCTTTTTTATAATATAGATTTATTAAAATGAAAAAAACAACATCCTTTTTGGATAAAAATTAAATACAACCGCTGATGTTTAAAAAGCGTCTGCTTGTGACCTTGTGTAAGAAAATTCTCAAATATCACCTGCAGTGGAAGTATGTAGGTGCGGTCTTCAAGTCTTGTATTGTAAGTTCAAACAGTTTAACAAATACTAAATGATCTGGACTATCTTTCATTCAAGCATTCGATTGGCTGCGGTATTTGTGGCCTAACAGTGACAGTAATCTACATGTATTTATAGATCGTTTTATTCTTGCTTTCAGAAATTAAGTTTTGTAGAATTTTCTAAAAATATTCGTTTTTTTTTTAAAATATGACAACCTATTTATAGCCTGGTAATTAGCCGCGGTAGTGGAAAATTTCAGGCGTTTAGTAGGCCTAAGCTTTACATGTAGTAACAACGTCGGCTAATTTCCACTGCTGTATAGTGTATTTATTATCTATTTTTATGCTTTTTTTTCCATATTTGAAGCTTTGGCGAAATTCGATAAACCACTATATCGACGATTTTTGGACACATGATATCGTAGTTGGGTCTGAAAATACCATATCGCGATAAATGACTATATCGAGAATATTGTACAGCCCTAATACAATGTAAGTGCATTTAACAATAATTTACAAACGACGTAATATTCCAGAATGGATGGCAAATTATACAGACAATCTGATTAAAATACAGATCTATATTTCGTTTCGTTTTTTTTTATACTTTCGATGGCCTACACTACATGAAAATCTGACAAGTTAAAGCGATAGGTCACGTAAGGGGTCAAAAGACCGACTTATGACCCTATGACGTCAGGCATTGATTAACCAATCAGCATTGATGTTACTAGTGGATTACCCACAGTTCCGTGAAAAACACGCCTAAAGCTCGCCGTAACAGACCGTTTCATTGGCTTATCCCTGACACCATTCAGAACACGAGTTAAATAACAACTCTTCCAGATCCAAGTGCAGTAAAGACAAGTAAAACGAAATTTTGAACTATAAAAACGAAACGAAATAGGATCTGTGTTTTAATCAAATTGATTTTTTAAACACAAAATACATTGATCCAAAATTGATTAAAATCGATGGACACCTGAAGTTGACATTACATAACGAATTTGACATTACTGTCTTGTAGGCTCTACATATTGTAAATGTCTGAATGATAACTCAAATTTTTGCCTAATGATTTTGTTTTAATTATCGAAATCATTATCAATAAAACACTTTTTTATCCCTTATTTTAAGGGAAATTCTGAAGTTGACCATCTGTCACCGGTGTCTTTATGATTCCTTGCTTTACAGTACCGTACCACTGTTGCCTGTACCAGTATTAAAAACATTTCAGCAAAAAAGATAACCGACACGTTAAAAATAACTTTAAGGTAAAAGTTAAAGATGCATTATGTAAGATTTAGATAGACAGCTGACAGTTTTCGCTTACATTTAAAAAATAGATAATGAAAAGGGAGTATGTTGAAAATTTCAGTCAAATGACTTCATTCTGAGCGGAGTTACCGTCGTTTGTCATTGCTACTGTTGTTACAAAATCATTGATAATCGTATAATTTAAATCTGTTGAAAATCAAAACCATTCGAAGTTCTAGAGAGTTGATTATGGGCTTAGCATGTAAATAAATGTCTAATTAATGATTTATATAACATTTGAGGCCCATTAGGCAGATTTAGCTCTTGAATAATGTAGATCTTTTAAAAAATAACCTGTAATAAGTTTATCATTACTGTTTAAGCAAATTCACGGCCTACATTCTTTATTATTGTTGACTTCTGTTGATAATAAATGCTTTAGACTGAGTAGTAAGCAGCTTTTATATTTGACCCTGAATGGAATCAAGTCCATATCTTTTATATCTTATCTATAGCTTCGGTTCTTGAACTATTGTATTTATAGTAACAATGGCTATCTTGTAGCTAATATTAGTTTGCGATGTTTATTTATAGCTTGTGTAGATAATGGTATATTTTATGTAGGCTACAGATACGAAGTATTGACTTGCTGTAGAGAAACTGTGTAACACAAGCTGTATTTCACAGCTAACATTTGTCTTGTAGAAGACTATAGTGGACTGGATAATAACAATGTATTGAAGGCCATTACAAAGATTTAAACAAATCTCAAACAAGATTCAATTATTTATAAAAAAAACCAATTATATAAAAACGTTCTAGGCCATACATTCTTAACTGTTTTTTATTCAGATTTATGATGCCTTAAGGCTTTTACTATACAGCATCAACATTCTAAAGCAAATACAAAATACACAAGCTTAAGGCAGCTGATCATAATGTAAGGGATTTTGAATGCCTTGCAAGCCACAGCAAATTAGATAGTGTCCCCAAAATGCAAATGATGATCACCTGCTTTAAATATCAAAATTATATAGGTATCTGGGCATCCAATCTAGAACGAGTAAGTGTACTCCGATATTTATTATCGCAAGAACTATTTAACAGTTTTATTAATCAATTGTAGATTGAGATGAGAAGATACCTTATTATGTCAGCATGTGGCTAGCACAGACTGGAAAATTTTCTTATGGTCATTAATGTCTAATTGAGACAATTAGCAACTTTAAATACTAACTTATAAAATTTCTTTAAATGAAATTAATGACACTGTCAGTGTCGCCTTGTCAAGAAAAGATGGATAAATAGCTATGACACATTTTTGTCCTAATGGCAGGAGTAATGCTTTAAAAAGGTCTTGGGGTGGTTTTGTATTGAATATGCAGATTTACACAAACTAGGTTTAATTAATAGATAAATAGAAATTAAATAGATTGAGAAATTGGGGCTGAAGTTTAAAACCAAGTTCAAAGATGTAACCCTAAAGGGGCTGTCTTCACTAAAACCATCAATGTTTAAATTTAACAAGGAGTATAATATAACATTGCATCTTCATGCATAAAGCTGTTGAGTAAGTTTTAAAGTTGGTGTTATTAATTATAGCCTGTACCACTAGTATGACAATCTACTGACAGTTTGAGGACAAACACAAAAATATTTTTGCTTGAGTTTGAGGTTTAGTTTTTTAAACATCTATACAAGTACCTTCAGTGGCTACAAAGACACAAAGTTGTCATTGTTTTTAGGTTGAGATTTATGTAAGATTTGAGCTAGGTTTCCAGACCTGAAACTGCCCAAATAAATTCTCCCCACCCCTTCCCCTGAAAAAACCTAACCCTAAATTATGTTGGGGTCATTTTCAGATAATTTAACCCTTCAGAGGAAAAAGTCAGAGGAGAAAATCCTGCTGAGCCCTCCATGTTTTGGGTGTTTTTTTTACCATTATGTCGCTCACTATCCTTTGGTTCCCCATAATTTAATGAAGAAAAGAATATGTTCCATGAGCAGTGCAAACAGTACTTCTGGTCTTTTTTCAGATATAATAGAAAATTAAAAGAATGTTGAGTCATTTTGTTGGTTAATGTAAATAGCTGCTATCTTGTTCCAGATTACAACTAGTATTCAAAAATACTGCAGTCATGTTTTGGTATTACAGTGTTTCATTTTTGCAGGAGAATCAAATTAGTACACAAACCCAATAAATTTAATATATTGGCCTTTTATTATAATGTCCTGGATGTTTGTAGGTGTCAGTTAAAATAGTTAAATATGAATCATATACTTTGCTAGAACAATATGACACCTTGATGGTTGGTCATATTTAATTACTTCCTACCTTTACCTTTACAACTGTCAAACACACACCACACCTGGTGCTGTCTCATCTAAAAGGAAATGATTAAATATGTTGGATCAAGTACATTATATGGTCACTCATAATACCTTTTATATGAGTGCTTGTACTTGTAGTAATACCAGTGTCAAAGACATATTATATAGACAATGCCCGAGGATAATTGCGCAACAACACAAGGACAAAACAAACAATAAAGTAGAAATAGTACAATTAGATACCCATTTCCATGACAGATACATTTTGCCGAAAAAGCCTCCAAATTATACCAAAATATATAATCAGAACGACTATTGAATATCATAGGACATTCAGATATTCAATGTAGTTAATATTGAATAACACTTCTTAGTATTATTTATCTGTACAATAAAGGTAATTTTCTGTCCATTTCAATTCATAGTTTAAAGTAGGAATATTTTAATAAAATTGTAAACTTGTAAAGTTACATAAAAGTTATAAAAATCTTCCAGATCATATTTGGTTTATTATTAAGCCCATGATGGACTGAAATTTAATCATTGAACTGATAGTCTGAAAAATATATCTGGCACTTACCTGGAAGAGTTTTACAATATGTGGATGATTTAGCAATTTCATGATTTGGACTTCACGATACACTTTCTTCAAATTCGCTTCATCTAGCTGAGTTTTATCTATAATCTTTATTGCTACCTGAAAATATAACATAAGAATCGATAGAAATGGAATTTTCTCACAGGGTACCATACATGTAGTTGCCAAAAGGCACAGAGCCACACTTTCTAACCCTAGACAATCTGCCGACACTTGATGAGAATGAAAAAAAATCCAAAGCCTTCTGGGGAAAAGATAAATTATGCCACGGAATTAGAAGCAAGAATTATCTGCAGGCTTTGCAGCAAAAATAACTAGAAAATTGCTAGATGTAGCTTTATATATATAAATGTAGATTAGAATTCATCCAGGTTACCATTTCGAATTTTAATTTCATGAACAAGTTTTATCAATAGGAAAGGAGTAAAAATTCACCAAATTCAGCATGGCCCCTTAAGAATATTTTAGGATATCAAAAGATTTTAAAAATTCAATATTTGATGGTGTTTGATGAATTTGTAAGGTGGTTTGGAAACATATCCACAAAGAAGAATGTACCGTCCGTACCATACGAGAATGTGTTGGAAGCAATACTAGTGAAATTCAAATTCTGTGGAATTGTCGAGGGGTTCATAGATCTGCATTAAACCAGTAGTTGAACATAATACAAAATATTACAGATTTGAATAGAGTGCTCATTTATTAAAATAATCAGTTTCCTCAATTGAAAATTTTCCGCATTGGGCTTAAGAATATTAAGTGCTAGCTGACAATTAATTTTCCTTGTTCTTAAAAAAAAATACAGAAATTAATTTTTTAAAAATATGTTCATACAATATGTTCAATCAAGTACATGTAAGAGCTAAATCTTCCTATTGCATGTCTTTCTTTTGGTTTCAAATGTAATAAGCTTATAAATTATTATTTAGAAATTTATTCACATGGCAAGCCCATAATCAACCCTCCACACCATCAGATGGCCGATTTTTTAAATGGATTTGAACACCCGCGAGATTTAAAAATTTAAGCATAAATGGATAGTCGAAGCTTAGTCTCAGTTGACAAGTACTGTTGCTACAATAATAAACAATGGGCTCAAAATGTTCACCCAGAATAAAGTAATTTTAGAATGAAATTTTCATTATCTGCATATTTTTTAACAATTATTCATAGCAAGAACAGCCAGCTATTTATCTTAATCTTACATAATGCATCTTTAAGGAATTAGGACTGTGTTTAGCCATGTACATGTAAGTTACAGGGCACAAGATTAGAAATAAAATAGAGTTCAACATAATTCCGACCAGTTTGCGAAAATGGAAGATTCCATTTTATTGAATGTTTCTTGTGGTTAGGATAAAATGTATAACTGTTACTACAATGCTATCATAATAACTCTAATTTTATGAGCTTGACATCACTGCACCAGCAGTCAGTATTAGAATACAAATCCTAGCCAACATCAAATGTTATATCTGATCTGATATTATAAATTTGGTCTGGACAGATTGAGCCATCATTTTTGTTTCAGAGTTAAAAACTTTCTAACATCGAAGTCATTTAAATTGGAGTGATGTTGACGAACTCCCTGCACAAAAAGAGACAGTAAAACTCATAAAGTCAGCCGTTTTAATTATAATGCTATTGCTGGGTCACCTTTTCTTTTATAAATACACCCATCAACTGGAGATCAGTAAAAGAATTTTGCCAAGGTAGTAGTGAGAGTACTGTATGACTATGAGTGTCCACAATATCAAGGTATACTGCCAATGGCTACTTTGTGACATTATTCATTAAATGAACTTGAAGGATTATAAAAGACAAGGTCTAAGAGAGCAACAGCTGTCCATGTAGCCTACACACAGGAACCACATGTAGTTAGTGTACCGGTACTGGCTTTGTCTTTAAGAATTAAATTAAAGGGATTTTAATGTTTGTGGCTAACAAGTTATAAAGATTATTTCTAACAGATTTAAATTATACTGATTTACATAATGAAAAAAAGGAAAATTTATTATTGGTGAAATGTACTTGTTAACGTTACATCCCAAAAAGTAACCACCCTCTATTCATAACATCAACAACAATATTGTATACTATTTACATACAAACACATGTTGTGTTGATTATACAGGTTATATCCAAATATAGTATGTCCTGTTGTTTCACTGTAAGACATCCATAATACAATGACAACAGCATGTTAACATGGTGGAAACACATACAAACCAGTAGGTGTTCAGCACTGGTATGTTCTAGAAATTTTAAATGAATGGGGTTCACCACAGCATCTGATATCTCTCAAAAGAGAAATGGTGTGAAGAATGGTACTGCCAACAATGATCCCCATAGAGAGCTATTAAAGCAAATCAGAAATTTTGTTTAGAAAAGTTATATTGGCAAAAAAATGTATGACCAAAAAATCACTTGATCTCAGATGGGGAAAGGAGTGCAGAGGGTTCAGTGCAATAAACTGTACATAGACTAGAGCTATGAATCCATCGTTTCATGCATATGACATGGCAATGGGTGTACCATTTCTAGAAAAGCAAAACAGCTCCTCATTAATGATTTTAAAAGACTTAACATTTTTGATTTAGGTTAAAATAAAATGTTGAATTGAGTAGTCTGACACATATTATTTCAATTAAAGGGACAGTCCTAGATATAGATGGGAGAAAATACAAATTCATTTGGCGTGAAAGACTTTTGCAAACCTTTATTCCTGGTCGTATATATAACTACAAGTAATTGCATCCGAAGCTCTAGGATACACCGTTCCACAGAAATATTTATACATTTTGGGCCATCTCTCCTCATATCCAGTGACTGGATAACCAGGTCTATATATACTAGATGTAGCTGAAGTTATAGTGTAGGTAGAGTGACATGATGGTTCCAATTACTAAATCAATCATACAATAAACTATCATTTAGACATTTATCCATATGACAAGCGTACACAATCAACACACTAGCTACATGTAGATCATTGGATGGCTGAGATTTAAATGGATTTAATCACCTACAAGATTTAACAATATAGCGATAAATTGAATAATCAAGATTATGTCTTGATTGCCATGTACTGTTGCTACAATAATATTAATAAACAATCTAAACAATATAAATCATTCAAATTTGTTAATTCACTGAGTTAAAATTAAATTGGTTAGACCATTTGATTTGGGTCAAAATTATATCAATGTAGATATATACACTTCCATCTCGGATTCAATCGGATTAAAAATAGGCCCATCAAAATATTTTACTTAACACTTAGTGCCTTACTACAAGTGGCACAGACTTCTTTATATCACTAGCACTTGCAGAGGATGCTGAATGTTGCGAATTGTTATATTTCTTTTAGATTATAATTAGATGTGCAATGAAATGAAATGAAGTTTAATGTCCTACTGTTCTGTACCGACTGAGCTAATGAAGACAGGGAGATGTGCAATGAAAAAAGTATGTAGGCCTACCTTACATGTATGTAGAATTTCATATAAATCAGAATTTCTGACCTACATGTACTGTACTACTAACCAAATTTCGGTCTAGGCCTTTTACATACAGTAGTACAATACTACATGTATCAGTAAATGCTACAAAATTAACCAAATAGGCCTATGGACAAAAAAAATTGTGTATCACAGTGATTATGAGAGTGTGAGACGGTGAGAAATTATGAAATATCTGTAAATAACAGAACTTATAAACATCCTGCAAAATAACATGTTGTTTGCTTTGGTTTTCATTCCCCAGTCTTGACTAGTTCCCTAAAAATACCCTTCTATAAGCTTACATTTTTGCGGCATTGCTTACTGATACGATCAATCTACTAAGGGAATGCAGTTGTATGCATCTAAGCGTGTCCCTCTGAATCTCTTTCCGAAAATAACGATTAAAATAATTTCTTATGTATAAGCACTAAGTGATCTAAGATTACACAAAATGAAAAATTTGTCTTCTGCAATATGCTACAAGGTTGTTTTTTTTTCTTTCTGAAAACTCAATCCTTATGTTTTTCCATTCACAGTACATAATAAATTTTGTGGCTTTTTCGTGTTAGTTAAAATGTAAAACGAGTAGATGTGTGGGGGAGGTTGTTATAAGAGATGCAAGGAATGTCTGATGATTTCTCTAGACTTCAGGTTAACTCTAGATCATACTTATCTACTCTAATTAGTAAAATTACACCATGATGGCATTACTATCAGGCTAGGCTGGGTAAAGAGTAGAACATTTCTGCTCCGAACGCAAGTCTCATTACACTCGCCCTATACGTTAAGGAACCGGCTTATTGGCTCCTTGTTGCAACCTTTTGCCTTCCCAGTAAGTTTTACTGGGCAACTTTTTACTGCTAAACGGCCGCATGTCAGTCCCTGTGAATTCCTGTACAATGTAAAGGAACATTTTAGTGAGAAAATAAGACTTTGCTTACCTCGCTAGAGTCAGGATGTGTGACACATAGACGAAACAAAATTTAGGTAACCAAAGCTGACCTTAAAAATATCCTTGTTTCGCCTAACGCGACCGACTAACTAAAACCACCCCCGACTTAAATTATTTTATTGCACTTTTCCGCGATCTTTTTATTTTATTTTGTGTGTCAACCTGAAATATATCACGAGAGTTATTTCCCTTTACTATGGCTATAGTTTGATTCATTATTGAAACTGGTTGATCAAGACGAAAGCGTTATAGGTGTCGCTTCTCAACAAAATGGTTGCAGACGAAAGCACGTCTATTCCCACGAAATGATTCTGCCTCTATGTCTGTGGGGCGTCGTTTTAAAAATGAAGATATTTTCAATATCCGTTTTCGAGAAAAATGAAGGCACAACCCGCACGATCGTTAAAAACGTGTTGAAGGGGTTTCACACTTAGAGTTCGTGGCAAATCGTGTGCGAGTCTCGGAGTCGTGCATCACGAAAAATCCCGATGTCATACTCATTGATTTGTTTGACAATAAAAAAAGACGAATGTTTCCCCCCCCCCCCCAGAAAATTATCAAGCTGTCAAATTAGCTCTTTAAAAAAAAATCTGAAAAAAAACCCCGACCTACCGACCCTTCTCCTCGATTGTGGGTCGGGTTTGGCGAAACAAAGATATTTTTAAGGTCAGCCCAAGGGAAAAAAATTGGAATCTTTGAAAAAATTAGAATTTTTTCAAAGATTCCATTATTTCCCCCTAGTTAATCGAATTTTGTCTTTGTATTGCCAATGTTTATAAATTTGTGTGTTTAGGCCTACCTATATTTAGACTGCAATCGCGACGCTTAAGCTACTTAGCAAGAGTGGATGAATTTTTACAGTAAGCTGTGTCGCACATACTGACTCTAGCTTCTCAACAAAATGGTTGCAGACGAAAGCGTGTCCATTACCATGAAATGATGCCCGTGGAGTGTCTTAATAATAACAACAATATTTTTAATAGTTTTCGAGTAAAATGAAGGCACAACCCACGTAATCTTTAAAAACATGTTGAAAGAAATTCACACTTCAAGTTCGTGGCTAATTATGCCTCACTAAAAATCCGGATGTCAAATTAGCTCTACGAATTTTACTTTATAAAAGCAAAAGTAAAAAAAAAAACCAACAAAAAGTAAAAAAAAAACGGGTGACCCTTCTCCTTGATTGTGCCTGTAGGCTGTGGGTTGGGTTTGGTGAAACAAAGATAATTTTTAGGTCAGCCTTAGCAGTAAAAAGTTGACCAGTAAAAGTTACTGGCTGCTGAGGAGTTTCAACAAGGACAGGTGCTAATAGGCCCGTTCCTGAAGGTGCGAGTGTAGTAATGAGACTATAATTAAGTTCAGGCTAGGTAAAAAGTAGTATGACTATGATTATGAAACTTCATTCATTAACGGTTATGGGGCCATATAATTATTCAAATTGTCTAATTATCCCCCTCAGTTTAGTGTCAGGGCAATATCTAGTGACACTAGTAGTGTGGCTATGATTAATGGTTGAAACTTTCGAAAAAGGGAGATTTTCTAAGAATTATTTTAACTTTGACTTGGTCACCTTTTTAGAGAGGCCGGCACCTTGTCACTTGTCGGTTTGTGTTAATGGCAATTGGTCTTACTGGAGACATAGGATCTTATTTATAAATGTGTGTCTGTTCTATGCTTATTTTGCAATATAGATTTGGTCAGTGAAATGATAATTCTAAAAATTAGGCTAATATAGGAAGAATTCATAAAGAAAACAAACCTCTGTTTTAGTAATCCGATGTTTTGCTAATTTAACAACTGCAAAGTTTCCCTTTCCGATCGTCCTCTCAATATCGTAAAATCCAACACGGATTTGTCCTTTCGGCCTCTCCGCCATGACCATTGTTTATACATAGGTACAGTATATCTTTTAACTTTCACCAAATGAGCCTTTTCAACCGTATAAAGATAGTATAATTGGTCGTGGACATCTTCCCTACCTCTCCTATTTTCGCATGGCGCTAGTAGACAGGTCGTGACGTCATGTGACGTCATCGGCACGTCCACTGTTGTATTATCTGATTTGAAGGCGGAGTTTCGTATTCGATGGTTGCTATGGTAAACCTACTACCTTTGACGTAAGTGCGCGTTTCGGGGCTAAACAAGAATACTGCATATCAAAGAAGTGGTACAACAGATTGGTTGAGTCATTCCAAACAACAGGAGAGATGTATAAAAATAGCTCGATCGAAGAGTTAAAAAGGCTTCCGCACAATATTTATACTCCCTAAACAAGAATGATCTATATTGGATGTAGATAGATAATGTGTTTATATACGACCGGGCATTTCAACTTGTATTTCCCTAGTGGTCGTACCTGTAACGACCTATATAACAGCCACCGGCTTATCAACATTGGATTGCTTACTATACAAATAGTTATTAGCACACAGCAAAAAGAATGTGGGCCGAGTATGGACCACTTGGTTATAAATATGGTTAATCCGCATTTTAAGATTAGAAAGATTAATTTTTTTTTTTTTTGTTGTTAGGTTTATAAAAATTCACATGGGCGGATCCAATAGATTTTTTTACGAGTGGGACCGAACACATCCAGAATGGGTACATGATATCTGCCTCTCTCATGGCTTTTGAATGGGGTTTCATGAGAGAAAAGGGGGAGGGTACCGTCTACAAGACCTCTTCCCTGCAGATAAATCACATCACAAAAATTACCAATGAGGAGTTGAGGAAATGTCAGTCCGGTTTCTATCTATAATTGTATGCATAATATACTACTATTAGCAAGTTATTTTCAAATTAAAATTCGGTCAGTTTATGGTAAGGTAGATGACTGTGACGGATATAAATTATACCACCTTCCGGATTTATAACTAGGTTTAACTACGCGGGAGATATTGAATATATGTCGTCATAAATTATCACTAAAGAGTAAATAGTCACCACCCACTAAAAATTCAAGTTGTTATAACTACTTATATAATCAGTTTTAATCACGTGACTATGATATTTATCTCGGTCTCATTTACGGAATTTGATTGACTGCTTGTAAAAACATACATGTAAATCGGATAAAGCAAATAAAATACAAAATGATAGAACACACTTAATAAACTGATTGACCTTCAACTGCTAAATAGCTTAATAATAGCTTACAGATGTGTTCAGTAGCTTAAAAATTGTCTCAGGAGACAATCCCCCGGAGTCCCATTTTTTTCTCGCGACGCTGACAGAACCCCCGACGGAAGTGATTTCCATGGGCTTATACTAGTGTTTAGGTGCTATGCGGGTAGCGACTGGGGTAGGTGAGGCAAGATTGTAAAAATGTCGCCTCGGTGGGGACTTACGGTCGCATGGGTAAGCTATCAACTTACTTCATACAAATTTCAAGCAAATTGTGCAACAAGAGAATTCAAAAGATATGACAAATTAATCATGGGAAGTAAAATAAGTGTTTTCCTGACTGACAGATTTCAACAAAATCGGATGATAACTTTTCCCGATAAAACGTTAGCAAAATTATATAAAAGGATCCTAGGCAGAAACACTATAAACTGGTTTCGAATCCTTACTTTAAAACATTACTTAATAACCCCTGGCATTACACATCGTTCACAAGATTCTACAAATAAATCAAGGGAAACAACCATGGCAGTCATTATCAAAAACCTGTGAACTACGCAAATCCTCCGCATTGATGATATAGATCACTATGCTCAGGAGATGTTCAAATCAAATTTCACAGACCATATCGGTCCTATTTTTGCCCAAAACATACATCAAACATAATATAATTTCTACCTAAATCAGTTTTAGAAAATACAAAGTTGATATTACTGGCTAATTAACTTAAGCTCGGTGTTAAATATTATATTGGCCGTGATTGTAAAGATTGCGACCAATTTGCAACCACTATGCTATCATTGTCATGGATGTCAACAATGTAGGCGTACACAAAAAATTATATAAACTTTTTCTGAAGTGCTAATAGTGGGAATAAAGACACATTCTTGACAACATCCAGTTGAAGGCGGTATACGTATCTGTTTGGTTTATCTAAAACCAACAGGGTTATTAATATCTTTATGTAATTGTAATCGGTATTCCGCGATATATTCTTGTAAATTCCTTGATTTTAGAATAGCACGTGCTGATGAATGACCTAGTCGACCGATATCTTCAGGATATTTAAACTACCGAGGCACGGCCAATCACCATAATAATTAAATCGACATTCAGGAGTTTAATTTTTCCCTGTTATATTGGAGGGTTTGCGCCATTGTATCTGATGGTAACTAACCATTTGCTATTAACCATTTCTCTCAGTCAGGAGAGAGAATCAGCTGACCTTTTAATATCTATATGTATGGAGATCTTTGTAACCTTGTACTATATGCAGGACATTGAATTAATTAATATGATGTAAGTGTAGGAGAACATAGGGCCTTCGGGTAGTAAAGAAATGTCATTTAGTTATTTCAGTAGCAGGAAGATGTCGCCGATCCTTCAATAACGCAATAAAGGCACAGACCTGGTCAGAGATTGGCGACGGGACCGGTTTGCGTATGATTAGATGCTATAGTATACTAAACCCGTGAGTCAATCCCGAATGAGTGTCATCATTATTAATTCGTCAATAAAATAAATACTCCCTGTTGTCCCGTCCTCTTTTTATAAACACCACAAAATTTATGGTGCAGGATGTGACGTATACGTTTATAGTTAACGTTCGAAAACTAAATGGTAGTTTCTCTGCAGGTATAGGGTGGGTCTGTTGTTCAGATTGAGGATGTGAGTGCTGAAACAATGATTGCGCCCACGATTTGGTGCCCTGGATAAAGTTTCAAATTTTCAAAGTACCATGGACACAGTTGGATGCCTTGAAGGTATCAAAGATAGAGAGATTATTTAATGTCAATATTTGACAGTCAAATTTCCAGAGTTTTTTTTAAAATGAAAAATACCAAAATGCAAAAGTAATATTTAGGCTACTAAGAAAACATTCCTGACGGTCCAGGTTTTGGAATAGCTAGAGCCCAGGTACAAATAACGTCGGACAAAATATAGCCTACAGCAGCGCAAAACAGGTTACACATGGTGTAACAAAGTTTCTGAAACGGCATAATTCGGCAAGACTATTCCCCGGGTAAGTATTATATGACCACTGCCGGGTAAATATTGTATGGTAAGACCGCCACTGCTTTGGTAAGGTACAAAAAGTAAAACAAATTTCTGAGCCACCAGTACAATGTAAAACCATTGCATAGGTAAAGGCTACGCAATAATACCACTGCGTGGATGTTTTTTGACGAACCGTTCTATAATGTCATCCATATCTAACTCATCATATTTAGTAGAACCATCTGATACTTTTTTTTATGTAGCTGAGCAGGGGGGGGGGGGCAGCATAGGAGCAGAACATTAGGACGTTAAACCCCATTTCATTTGATTTCATTTTTGTTTTACAGTAACATCATTATACGGTAAGATCACTACTTCAGTGGGTCAATTGGGAAGATCACTACCGTTAGTCGACCCAATTTATTTTAGACATTATAAAGAAAGCTTGCTGTTTTAGTCTTAACATAAGTGTAGCATTTCTTAAAATAATAATTATCGGCCATCTACATTAACTACAGTTGATGATCTGTGTTTGAAGAGTGATGCAGGTGTTATAATGGACGGATGATGAGTTGTGTATAAATAAGGTAAACGTGGTATATTGAATAGAAATTATTCATATCACTACACCTCCGCAACATCTATAGCAACTCATATCCGTTTTATAAGATAAACCTATCTCCATATATGACGTGCACGAGTTATACAAGCACAAAAACTAATGAAGGTCCTAGCGTCTCTACAACTTGGGTCGTTTGTCATGACACCTTACAAAACTTGCAATCTGTATTCGACTAAAATTTGATTGGAAAGACGATAGACAAGCCTCGTGAATTCTCCTTGTCATGGGTAATGCTTATGGGACTTCAGTTGGACTGGACAAAACCGAAGTCGGTGGGCAAATAAGAGAAATAAAATGGGGTTTAGTATCCTACTTTTCTACACCAAAAAAGGAGCGGCGGTGGTTCAGTGAACAAGACGCTACCTCGCTAACTAGGAAGTCTTGGGTTCGCTTCAGATAGTGAACATTCCACCGCGGTTCCCCCTTGTCAGTGTCGCAGGACGAGTGGGTGGGCCGACAAGGAACGTGCACCTAAAATGAACCCTTGGCAGTTGGAATTCGAACTAAGAGTAGGTCATAGCACAGTGTATGGCGTAAGCTCGTCTTCATTAGTCCAGTCGGTGCAGAAAATTATAAGGTCGTTAAACCCCATTTCATTTCTACACTAAATGTACTACCGGTGGAATTTTGTTAGGGACGCGGCGTATCCATCTACTTTTTATCGAATTCCAACTGTTATGGATTCTTTTAAGGCACACCAATGTGGAAACGGGACCTCGGGTTTTCATCATACAGGTGGCTGTGATTCTCCTAAAACGGCAAATGACGAACGTCAAAAAATAGCGATAATGATCGGGAGTGCATTATTTCCAGCGTATTTTCTATTCTGCTGTAAATTCACAACGAAACGAAGAAATGTCATGTAATGATAATACGAGAAGACGTATATTTTAAGCCATTTAAAGACATGACTTCTATTCATTTTTAAATGAATTCCTTATATATTGGCTTATATGTGTTAATAAATCTACACTGATGAAATAAAAATTAATTTGCAGTTTTTCGACCAAAATGCGATTTCAAGATAATTTAAAGAAAAATAAACATTGCCGATCAGTGGCGGTGTCTTTTAATAAATCTAACTGATCGGTAATGTTTCTTTTTCTTTATTTCACTACGTAGTTTAGTTGGACATGTTTACATTACAAAATATGCAACAAGTCAGAAGAATCTGCCCATTCATCATGATCATGTGCTTAAGTGGGTAAGACGCTGGCTCGCTATCCTGGAGGTCGGGTGTTCGATCCCTGCATTGGCCGAGAAAGTTCATCCAGATTTTCCGGCGTGGT